ATGCTATAAGAAAGAATTTCTTCAGATTTATTTATGAGACACAAGGATTCCTGAGTCATCAGCATATAATCACTGGCACGAGTATCGACCTGGGAAGAAAAAATATGACCAGATGACCAGATTGATAAAAAAACTGTGTTTATAAAAACCAAAACAAAAAATGTAAATAATGATCCCTTTAAAAATATACTATCAACTTGAAGTATATTTTTAAAGGGGTCATTATTTACATTTTATTTTGGTTGTTGACACTTTTAAGATGAACACAGGTTTTTTTATCAATCTGGCCATATTTTTTCTTCCAAGGTCTGATACTCGTGCCTGTGCATTATAATAAAAGCTTATTGCTTAGGGTTGAAGACATGTAATTGACATATATTAGACATAAAAGAGGACCTAAAATGAAACATCAGGGGGACAGCATAGGTACTCCCAGAGCAGTAGTAGAATGAGTACCAGCCACATCAACCAGCTACTATCAGAGATAAGACTTAAACCATGTAAGAATGTCATTATATATGGCAGATGCTTGAAGTTTCATGAAGAAGAAGAAAAACAACTTCTTCATCCCAGATGTGCAGTATAGTGTGTTCAACTGTATCAAATGCCCTTTGTAGATCTAAAAGTATCATGCAATACTGCCTTTGTCCATTTCAAATAATGCAAATCTGTTAAATGAATCAAACATGTGTCAGTTGAAAAACCACTTCTAAACCCTGACTGAAACTGCCTGACCATGACTCGAAACCCATGACTTTCAGAAGACCAACTGAGCTATCCGGCCTGCTACACATTTTCTCTTTAATAATAAAAAAGTTCTAAACCACAACATATTTCCCCCACTATATCGATTTGTGTTCGTGAATTTCTTATGTTACAGAGCATAGGAAATTGAACTCATGCTTATATGCAGTCACAGGATGAGAAAAACTTTGAGCTTGACCAGAACTCAAACCTGTGACCAACATAAGAAATTTTACGAAGGCTGATTTGTATTTTGCATCAAGCTAGGCACCGGGCAAAAACATGAAAATGCAACAAACAAACCACTTTGTGGTAGATTGTATTTTCATGTTTTCATCTGGCGCCCAGTTACTTTTTATACTATGTTGGTTTTCATGTGGCACAAATCACCCACTATAAATTTTAATGCACAAATTTATTCAAGGGCAAGTAACAATCTACTCTATGTACAGTCTGTTGTCGGATTGACTCAGGAGACCTGGAGGTTGAGACCGGTGTCTCTTCATTACAAATAGATAAGACCGAAGTGGTTTTTTTCAAACTATGCACATGTTAGAAAAAAAAATAGAATAACTATTCAGAATATGATTTTTTGAGACTTTATTAATTACATTGCTTGATCCAAGTTTAAGGACATTTTCAATCAATACATGTTTTATCATTTATAACTTTAAATGAAAGTCTCGTCCCTTTAATAATAATGACATAACTGTATCTCTTTAAATGCAGAAAATATAAGTCTCAACATATCAATATACTACTGTCTAAGATATACATGTATGCACATAACATTAATAATTCCCAGTTTATATTAAATAAATATGAAATCCTAACATTAACATGCTTTTGATGACCTTTCACTGGTGAATTAATAAAAAAAAAAATGTATTTAAGTAAAAACCCAAGATAGACGAAAAGAAAAAATAATTTAAATAAAAAATGAGTTTCTTCCCCCTTAAAATAAAAAACAAACCCCAAAAAAAACCATAAAAAAGCAAAATTAAATGAAATGCTGCAGGTTCAGTTTTATCAAGCCATGCCCTTAATGGGAAAAGTTTCATAAAAAATAAGATGGCATGTGGGCAGCAGTAAATTTCGAAAATCGGGAAAGCTTTCAACCCCTCCGGATACTGGGCCCCTTTGTAAAAAAAAACCATTCCCGCGCAAAAATTTAAATTAATAAGGGTAAAACAAAAGGATAAAACCCTTTACAAAGTTCCCTTAAACCTATCCTTTTATACTAATTGCAGGGGAACGTTCTTTTTTGTAGGAAAAATTTTTTAAAAATGTATAAATGAATGAATGAACTGATACGGCCTCAATCTAGACCACAACGATATTCGAAATCCGGGTTTTAGTATTGTCATTAAAAACTAAGGGACAAGCTGTTAAACTTAACCTGAAATTTTCGTGAAAATAATATCACAATGCACATGCTTTTTATAAAAAGTTATTAAATACAAATATAATAACACATTTGTTTACTTGATTTTTACGAATCAAAATAAAACTAATTAACACAACATGAAATTAACTGCTAATAATAACAGCTCCTTCCATAGGCAAAAATAAAAAGCGTTCCATAATAGACGACGCCGCTCACCGGCGTCGCCAAAAAAGATAGGAAGAGTATATAAGTCAATTTATATAAGCGCTTTTCTGTTCCTAACCATGAAAATGTAACTTTTTGAAAAACACTACTTAAACATGCACCTCCTGAGAAACACGTTATCGCTGTAGAACATAATTTTCAATTTTGCAACAAGGATACACGTCTCATAACGAACATATCGCATTGCTCTGCCTAAAATTTGTCCTTCACATCGATCACGTTTCATACTATGTCAGCTAAAGGTTTCAATATTGGTCCAAAATCTTAATTTAGGAAAAGATATTAAACATACGGAAGCCGTAATGTGTCAGTTAAGCAAATACGTTTTAGTACGCTATGAAAGATGAACGGATATGAAACAATTAACTAATAATGATTCTGTTTTGTTGCATTTTTTTCATTTGCTTCTTTAGAGAAGTAATAAATGTCTTTTTATTACAAAAGTGTAATATAATTTATTGCTGAGCGTGTTATGACCTTAGCTGAAAAAACTATAATATTCTGAAATTTTAAAATGGGGTCATTGGGTTATGGCGGTTTATTTTTTGATTTGGGTTTTCAGGCTTTAAAGAAAAGAAAAATTTATCAAACAAATTTTCCCTGCTTTTCACAAAGAGGTGCGGCCCACTCCCTTTTTATGGCACGGATTTCTGGGCTATATGTATTTAAATGTTTTTAAAGTATTTAAAAAGCAGAATAAAGAAATTTTAATAAAACTACGTTTTGCTGAAAATGTTTATTTTAGTTTACCCGTCTGACACTTCTATGATAATTCAGTCAAGTCAGGTGACGATTACATCACATCTATGACAACATGAGTCTTATCATCAATTTTAAATGTTATTAAGGAATTTATTTTAAGTTTAATTATCTGATTAGCAGTTTGACTTTAAAAAAGGAATCAGCCAGCGTGACGTTAGTCAAAATTGAATTGTTTTGATCAGCTTGGTCGATAATTTCATAATTCATAGAATGCATTTTCATTGGTTGATTAAATAATTTCTTGTTTAAAGCTTGTATTAGTGCACATAATTATGTACGTTTGTACGCAAGACACTAAAATAATAAACAGTAACAATGTTGTCCAAATCATGAAGAGTTTTTAAACTTATGTATCTAACAAGTTAATTAAGAAATTAAGAACTAATAGTCCATATGTGGTAAACATTTATCAATAACGCGGCAGATGGCACACAACTCCATGGCGGATCTAACTGACGTTATGTCACTACCCTTGTTTTGTCTGATTATTTGTATGCATAATAAAATGTTGCTGAAGAAGACCGCAAGGCCAAAAGCTATGACAAATTTAATGACGTTTTGGGTAAGAGAGTTGTATGATAGATATACAATTTACCTGGAGGAGGGAAAATACCAGAGTAAACTTACGGTTTTAATTTTTATTTTCTTACACATTTTACACATTATATTTTATAACAAAAAATAAAACTTATAAAATATGGAACAGTGGTACTCCAGACTAAACTTACGGTTTTAATTTTTATTTTCTTACACATTATACACATTATATGTTACAACAAAAGTTAAAACTTATAAAATATGGAATAGTGGTACTTTTAAATTTTTATCAATGCAATAGCATTGAGGTTATAGTGAATACTTTATTATTACTATATATTTAACACGAAATATCATGTTGAGGTAGGTTTTAAAGCTTTGTATTTTGCAGCGTTTGAAAATTGATATCTCGCTCTACCAAATGCCTCAGAAAGTTACTACAACATCATTTTTCTTTTATGTTATACCCATTCTTTAAGATAAAAAGAAATTTACTGAACGTCATTTTTGCAAAAGAAGCCACGCCCTCAGTAGCATTGGTTCCAGTTTATAAAAACTACCTAATGCAAAGCTTAGATGGGAAGCGACAGAGAAAAATGTTCGGCACTCCCATATATGGAACCACAATCCTCACTTACGTAACACAAAGTTACAGATTTTTAGAATGTAAAGCAATCGGAACATCACGGCTATTACTCATGATAACCTCATTGAAAGTAGTTCTACCACGTGGTTTTAGACGAGTGTATTTTTAACATCCAAAGGAAAACAAAGTATATTTCGGTAAAATTATAATTGAAAATATGTCAGCCAATCGCAATCAATTTAAAAATACCCACTGATACACTACTATAAACAAATCTGAATTTATGTTACCGGTAAAAATTTTGTTCTTTAATAAAAGTAATAATGATAAGTATATTTTAAATGTATTATTGACTTTTATATCTATAAATTTACTTGATTTTTGTGGAAATTTACTCTATATATTGGAATAAACATAGACAACAACTGCTATTTGTATAGTTTCTTACCGAAATACCGTATTCTTACCATTGTTTTCGAGGTTCTAATTGGACGTTTGACCGAGTGGATGTTAAGCTCTTTTACACAATATGGTGAATCAGATTTATGAATTTTACTGAGGGCTGCCGTGAACAACAAAGATGCATTAAGTATCATATACATGTATGTTAGTTAAGATAGAAATAATACATGAACATTACTTATCCAAAGCAACAACGAGAATAATACTTAAAAAAATGCTTAAGCCATTATTGCAATAATTACCTTATAGAATGATGCACAGTTAAACCGAAAAAGAGGAGTTAAAGAATAAGAACAGTTTAATTTTTTTTAATTTTAATACATGAACTTTTTTACAGTGCCACATTAGGAGATGGATCCGCAGTTTTATGCGGTGTGTTTTAAGAAGCATAGTAAGTGTGAAAATTGTTGTAACGATACATGAAAGAAATAAGTGTATTTTTTACACAAAAAATGGACTTGTCGATTTGTACATTTTATATAAAGTATAGAGAATTGTAATTTTGACATAAGTAAATAAAACACGTTAACGGAATGCTACCATACAACAGCAAAGACAGCATATAAATGATGAAACCTTCCCAAGCCCACTTTGTCAAATGTATCTATTGTCTTTGTTCCTCAATAAGAAGTCAGAAAATTGCCGTTTCATGTGTATAACACTAGAGAAAGCAATTATTTTATTTGATAGCTCCATTGGGAAAAGGTATTTCGGAAATTATGACATCACGATCATAGTTTAAAGGTAATTATTCATAAATTGGTTTCGCTACAATAAAAAAACAACATTCATGGCTTATTGATAGATGAATATATTTCGCATTAAGCTTTAAAGTAAAAATGGAAAACGACCATACAATTTCTGAGGAGAGATATTTTAAAGTAATTATTTTAATAAAATAAAACGGGAAAGAACTAACACCGTTTTATACATGACTTCCTTACAATGTAAACATGCTACTGTTCACTCAGCAAATAAATTTAAATATTGACACAAAGAGATAAATACATTTATGCAACAAATCAACATGTGGACACATTGTCAATCTACCATGCCTTTATATAGTATATGCATGTATGTACAGAAACACACTGTCCGTGTCTTTATAACATATACATAAATAACATATAATGGACAACAAATGCACATATGAATTTGATTGAATAATACATTGTGGTTATTTCACACATTAAGTATTAAGTTATTATCATACATTAAAATGTTAAAGTAAATGACTATTGAATATGATATGTTTCATCATATAACCGTAGCTCTTTCTTTCCACATACACCATTTAAAATCTGTATGCAACATCACAAGAAAGCACATGCTATTTTTTAAACAGTCAGACATAATAAACTATAATTTTGCCAGTAAAGCATGCAACCACTAAACAGTTTCTATTGTTATCAAACAATAAGGATAATGGATTTAGTAGACCGGAATCTTTAGAAACTAATTCTCCTAGGCATTTTCCTTCGCTATCAAACATCATGATGTTGTTTGAGCTATACCCAGAAATAAACACAGTCCCATCATTGGATACACATACACCAAGTGTGCCAGTAAGCCTTTTATCTCTCAGTTCTCTTTTCACCGTTGCATCTCTTGTCAAACAGACAGCACCATCACTGTTGTCTGCTATAAACACATTATCTCCACTGACAGTCTTTTGTTGTGGAGATGATGTAATAATGCGTTTACCATTGACATCATTACTGATAGATTTTAAACATTTACCAGCCATACTGTATACATTTACACCATTTCTATCAGATACCCATAACTCTCCAGCGCAATATGTCATTCCCCAGGAATGTCCACGTGTAACAGGTATATCTCTCACCTTAGATAATGCGCATCCTACTGATATAAAACAAACTTTGTTGTTGTAAAGTTTTACAGCGACCTCAGTATTACCAGTACAACAGATACCTGTAGGATTTAATTCTAGATCCAAACAATCTTTAATGTTATAATTCACATCAAGCCTCTTTATCCTCAAATTATTACAGTCAGCCAGTATGATTGTACCGTCTGGAAGCTGACATATATCACAAATGTAGGGCTGGGTCTTGTCGTTTTTCATATGGATATTTTCCTCCTTCTGTGAACGTACTTTATATGTCCTTGATGTCGGCAGATTTTTGCTTTCTGTTATCTTTTGTACAGACCCTAAAAATGTTGATGAACTGACTGAAGACTTTAATTCTGTATTTTCCTTCAAGTGCAATGATTGACTGCCCTTAGCTTCATTTTGTTCAAATATTTTTACTGCATCGTTTAAAGTTTGTTGTGTCAGTTTTGTCTGAACAAATTGTTGTATTTTATCCAGACTGTCCAAGTCCTGTAGCTTGCTTCTTACCTGCTCAACCTCTTCTTTAGCTTTACTTAACTTAGCCATATTTGTCTCCAGTTCTCCTTTGACCAAAGAATATTCCGCATCAAGGCCTTCCAAAGCTTCACGCTCCAACCTCTTGATATGTTCTACCAAACCGCGCCCAAGGCCTTTTATTTGCGAAATGACGTCATTTCTTTGTTCCTCTATGCTTTTCAGGTTTGTTGTCGTTTTCTTATCAGTATTTTCTAAACGGTCTTGGATGTTTATAATGTCAGCCTTTAAACGTTCTGTTTCTTTTTTCTGATCAGTAGACACTGATAACACGTCTAAACCTGTCACTCCCTTACAGGACCTGGTAACAAGAAATTTTAACTATTCAGATATAAAGTAATTTTGAACATTTCGGTATATACACTTTAGTATCCTCACTATTGTTAGGATCATTTTGCTTTACGTGTCAACTACATATATTTATAGAGGTGCACAATTAATTTGTCTATTGTCTTCATGTAAAAGTCTTTCACTCATGATGTATTAACACTGGGATATATAGAGGTATCTGCTTCACCTAACTTAAAATGTATGATGTATTATGTTTGTTGAAATGGGATGTTTAACATCCGTATGATTTTGTTATTTTTGTCTTCTAGTAAGTGTCCAATTACCATGCACTTCACTACAAAACAATTTGAAAGATGTTGTTGCATGAACATTTTAGAAAAGACATGACATGATATTATCTAAAATATAAAGATGATTGAGACAATAGCTTTCAAGTTGTCTATTATAATAGAGATACTGATTACAATACAATCCCCCTCAAACTTTCGATGTGCGTCTTTCCGATGTCACCCCTTTTAAAGATCTTCCATGATTTAAATTTATAATTTCAATTATTACAAAATATAGATTGATTTTCAAATCGCTGTAGTAATTCCCGATAATTTAATTTTAAAGATACTTTACAAAGAGAAATGGATCTAAAATGAATACCAACCTGTGGTCACTAGCAATACACTTTAAACAATAAACCATGTCATGTTCCTCACAGTACATCTCTATGTCACGATCTGAGTGATATAAACATTTTGCTGTCACGGCAAAATGTGACCCCTGTTTTGCCTCGTTCTTGTCTAATAGCTTATGGGAACGGCTCATTCTCTGTCTTCCATGGTGTTGAGTGCATCCTGTACACAAAAACTCCTCACATTCAGGACAATATTTTACAGCTTGTTCTCGAATATCACCCTCAAAACAAGGGGTACACACAATGTCAATGTCAGTCATAGTTGAACGACCGTCTACTTCAGCCATCGTGTCAGCTCAGTCTGTTAGAAAATGACATTTCAACGTTTCAATAATCATTAACTTTACATTTAATCACATGCAATCATTAAGTGCATATTAATGCGAATTCATAAAATTGAAATATATTACTAAATTGTAGTATTAAGGTTTTAATTTGATCATGACATATTTTGAATATTTCACATTTTATGACCAATAAACCATAGTTAATTATATAATGAAAACAGTGATCGTTAAACATTTATAAAGATATTGTAAAATATTGTTCCATATGTGCTTAGTCTGTTATATAAATATTTATATTTATTTATATTTATTTATATATAAAATAGCATATACACGCTTCAATACCAATTTAATTTTACATTGTACCATATGAAATTATCATATAGAATTGGGATGAAGAAAAACCTTAGTAAATGAAAAACAGTATATGTATTCATAGATCTATGTTGTAAATCATTGTTGAATATGTGTTGTAAAGTGGAATTATGCTCATTTTTTTTGCTGTCACGTTAGGTTGACTTAATCATATCTTTCAAAATTTGTGATTGGGCAATAACTGATAACAAAAATAATTACACAACTTATGAAAAGACTGCCCTATTGAACGTTACTGGAACATTCTGAACTGCGTCGATTATTGAATATTTTAACACAGTTTTTGGAAATGGCAAATTACTTTGATTTTTAACCTGGTCACTGACCATTTAGGTTTTGATGAACATATATAATGACACTTAATGTATGTGTATCTTATTTTATACGGATTATCAGTGATTCATTGATTCGTTCATCTGTAATATTAATACTTTTATGATCTGCTATATCTGCGAGCTCAGTCTCTTATTAAATAGCATATATAGCATATGTATACACGTTTCAATAACAATTGAATCTACCATATTGAAACATATAACTAGCATTTATGGTGTTAATTTCTAAGAATAAAAAACATAGTAAATTCAATAGATACTTAAAGAAACGGTATACGTATATATGGATCTATGTTGTAAAACATTGTTGAATATGTGTTTAAGAGTGGCATAATGTTCATTTTTCGCTGTCAATGTGGGTTGACGTAATCATATCTTTAAAAATTAGTGATTGAACAATAGTTGATAATAAAAAGTATTTATGATACAATATACATACGACCCAACTATGAAATGATTGCCCTATTAAACATAACTGATGCATAATCAATTTCCTATGTTGATTTTCTAACACATTTTGCAAATATCAAGTTATTTTGACTTTCACCTGTTATAAGTGACCATTTATGCTTGGATGGACATAATGTCACCTAATATGTCATATTTTGCACGGATCATCAACGATTCAATGTTTTATTCATCTGTGATATTTTAATGTAAACTTTGAGATTATGGTGATGGATGTCTATCTATCTGTTAGTATGTCTGTCTGTCTGTCTCTGTCTATCTAATTTACCCTTATCTAATCTTATTTATCCTATCCTATCGAATTGTCAGTGAGCATCCTGGCCTGACAGTTAGAACAATAATTGACAGCATTTTCATATAGTAAATATAAACATGATCCGAATATCATTTAAAATAAGAAGTTATATAATTTTATTAGAAATCGAGCAAATAAAGTAAAAACACGTAAGATTAAAACATACATGTAAATAATTGAATGAAGAATAGAACAATTGAATTGTCGTAAGTTTATGTGTAAAAAGGTGTATGAAGCAAAGTGAAACAGCATGGTCATGGATTCAACATATTATTATCTTATAACTAGATGCACAAGGGCAATATGTCAAGCCCGCTGTCAGATATGACCTACAGGTATGACCTTTGACCTAGTCAGGCGATTCTTACGCATGAAACCTCAACTCATTATTGTTAACATTTGTTCTAAGTGATTTGAAAGTCTGCCTACTAATGACAGAGTTACGATCCGGATAAACGTAGTTCGGACGGTAGTATGATCTTGACCTTTATCCTGGTCACACAGTTTTTGCGCGCGACATCATAATGTTGAACACGTGTGTCAGGTTATTTGAAATTCCATCAGCTATTGATAGGACAATCTGTTTAAAACATGTTTTATTTGCATTGAACTATTAAGTATGACCTTAACCCTTGACCTAGCCACATGATTCTTTCTCGCGACACGCTGTCTTATGATGCTTACGCCAGGTTATTTTAAATTCCATCAGCTAGTGATAGAGTTATGGTCAGACCTGGGGTAATCATTAATGGTAATCATTGATTTTTAATCGATTACATGATTACACTGTAATCATCATGTAATTGATTACCTTGCCCAAAATTGATTAATTCAATTGTAATTAATCAATTACAGCTAAAATTCAGTCAGTAATCATGATTACAATTTGATTGACATTGATTACTTTCAGATTTAACAGGAAACTATTTTAATTCAAAGGATGCCTTTATTTTACATGATACAGTTTAACTTGTGTTTTACATTTATACAGTAAAAACCCTTAATTAAGACCATCATCTGGGCTGGACCAGATTATTCTTATCATAGCTTACATACTTTATGACCCTGGTCTGTTTTAGTCATTTTGTATGAAAAACAAACAATATGTATCTTAAGCTTCAAATACAATATAAAAGACACTATAAAAGTATGTTTTGATATCTGATGAGAGGAAAACATATTTCTGAAAAAAAAAACTTAAAATTCTCTTTGGTCAGATTTCAATATCAATTATTATGATTATGATGTACATAAATCACCTATTATATAACAAAAAATTGGAAGCTCTAAAATTTACCTTCTCACCTAATATTTCATACAATAACCCAATTATAACAATTTTTCACACCTTGTGAAATTAAGTGTCATGCAAAGCATTCAAGCAGATCATAACCTAGACAGGTGTTGACTTGTCAAATTACGAAGAAAGTAAAGATTTTGGACTGAATCGGGTGGTCTTGAAAGTGGATAAGCAGTTGTTTTTAATTCTTGATCATGTAACCAGTAACCATTGACATAGCGAACCTTGTAAAAAATAGTCTTATTAAGGGGGTGGTCTTAATTCAGGGGTGGTCATTAGTGCGGATTCTACTTTACATTGAATGTAATCAATTATCAATCAATTACTCTCTTAAAGTAATTGTAATTCAATTGATTACAGAGGCAAGTCTGAGTAATCAATAATAATCAATTACAATAAAACCTGAAAGTAATTGTAATTAAATCAATTACTGATCAATGTAATCATCCCCAGGTCTGGTTATGGTGCCGACAATTGAGACCAATTTTTGCATTTGACCTAAAAAGGATGACCTTTACCTTTGATCTAACCATACGGGTCTTCCGCGCGACACGCCATTACATTATTGTGAGCATTTGTGCTAAGTTATTGTAAATTCTGCATATAAATGACAGAGTTACGTTCTGGACAAGCATATCCGGACGAACGGACGGACACACGCACGCACTCACGTACATACACCGAACCGCAATTTTGACAGCTATGTCGAGCTCTCCGCGGGCCCGACAAAAACTAATCGTTTATAAGTTAAAATGCCTAGTTAAACATTATTGATAGTAGGGATTTCCGCCTCGCAGATATATGTATATCTTTACAAGAATTCGCGCAAGAAAAACAAAGTAGAATAAAAGTACAAAAAATACAGAAAAAAAAGAAATTTAAAAAAAAAGGTAGATTGACAACAAAAATCACAACAAGATAATGAAGAAACCGTTTTAGACTAGGACAACATGTATTATTTAATTTTTGTTGATCCATTCCTTAATAGTATGGATATATGATAAATTGATAATGATTAAAAATACTTTATATGAAAATTATATTAAACCAATAGATGTTTCACCTAATGATTACGTATTATGATTGTTCTCTTATCTAATTTTCTCTGTACTGCTGTTGTTTATAGAAAATAATTTCTGTATCACGTACGATACACTTAGAAAAATAAAATTTGATTGATTTGATCGGATACAATATTATAAAAATAAGTAAATAGTTGACTCATGGCAAAATGTCGGTAGCTTGTAAAGATTCGGATTTAAGCTACCAAAATCTTGACTCTAATTATATCATTTTAATGTAAATCCTTGATCTCACAATAGTACGCTTTTCTGTGACATACAGTTAAGGTGATATTTTTAATAAAAAAAACTTCATGAGTGTATACATGATTGTTTAAGTTTTTATTGTAATATGTGTCAATTTAATTAACTGTAAATTGAATAATAGACATCAAATTGTGACATAAAAAAATATAAAACGAGCCGGTCATATTGAATATAAAAAGTATTTCACTTTGCCAAGTTATCCTCTATGTTTTAAAATGAAATATATTTGGATTGTAAAGGGTTCGGGGTGGGGGAGGTTGTTGGTGGATAACTTAGTAATGACCTGGCTACGTGCACAGGCGCTTGTCACATAATCAAATATTTTACATAATCGGTCTATATATGTATATCTTTATATACATATATAGACCGATTATGTAAAATATTTGATTATGTGACTAGCGCCTGTGGCTACGTGTGTTCACATATGGCAAATTCTAAGCAAGTATGTTTTCTCATAAAATTGCACAGCATGTCAATACTTGTAATTATTTTATAAAGAGGGGAATTTAAAGAAAAATGTTTCCTTAGATCTAGAACATTAGTTAATTTCTTTCCTGAGAACAATGTTAACCAGAAATGTGTTGTCCAGAACAATTAGCTTTTGCCCGCTCATCCATGAAATCTGGCAAGACTATTCTACACAAGTTTCAAAAAAGAAAGTGGGTCAAGTAAATTTCTGAAATTTAAAAGGTTACCGTTAAGGGTTATAAAACATAGATATGCAATTTACCTTATCCTACAATGTCTTTACTTTGTTATAATATCTTCACCAAATAAGCCGTAATTCTTCAACTACATGTATTTTATCCAGTCAATTTGTCATGCTTTCTGATTGTATTAAATAACTTAACAATTCAATACGTGCTTTACTATACTCCCATTATACGTCCCACAATTCTCTCCTATCAATAAACTTCTTGTTTCGTTTTCGATTAAATGAAAATTTTACACTGGTGTAGCTGAAATATATTTTCATGGTCGTGAATGTATTATGAGATATTTGAATAAAGTTCTATGTTTTCTTTTAAATAATTCGTTTTCAGTTAAACATTAAATGATATTTTATTAGATGCAGTAGACTAACCATACGTCTGATCAAATAAAAAAAAAAACAGGTGCGAATACAGGATTTTTACCATTTACCAGAGGGGTCGCAAGACAAGGCATGACATTTAAGTATTTTCACTCTAAAACAATAATTGATAACCAAATCTCACAGGTGTTTAAAATACTTGTCAAAACCCGGGGGAGGGGTCTAATCCGCACCCACCATCTAAATCTGCGAATAACAAAATTGTTGCATTTTTTTCAAATTGTTTTCTTTTGTTAAATACATGTATGTATCATGGATACGTTAACAATCTGAATCTTAAATTTTTTAATTTTTAGCTTGACTATTCGCAGAATAATCGAGCTAATGCAGTCACCCATTTGTCGGCGTCGGCGTCCCTGTGGTTAAGTTTTTGCGTGTAAGCTGGTATCTCCATAACTACTGAAGGGAATAGATTGAAACTTCACACACTTGTTCTCTGTGATTATCTAAGATGACTGGCACAAGTCCCATAACTCTGGTTTGCTTTTTACATAATTATGCCCCCTTTTCCACTTAGAAATTCTTGGTTAAGTTTTTGCTTGTAAGCTGACATCTCCATAACTACTGAAGGGAATGGATTGAAACTTCACACACTTGTTCTCTGTAATTATCTAAGATGATTGGCACAAGTCCCATAACTCTGATTTGCTTTTTTACATAATTATGCCCCTTTTTCCACTTAGAAATTCTTGGTTAAGTTTTTGCGTGTAAGCTGGTATCTCCATAACTACTGAAGGGAATGGATTGAAACTTCACACACTTGTTCTCAGTGATTACCTAAGATGATTGGCACAAGTCCCGTAACTCTGATTGCTTTTTTGCATACTTATTCCCCTTTTCGACTTAGAAATAAATTCTAGTTAAATTTTTGCTCGTAAACTGGTATCTCTATAACTACTGAAGGGTTTGAACCTTTTCGGACAATTTTATGTATTCATATAGGTAAGCATTATTATACTCAATGAAACACCCTTGTGACAACTTTTCGAATAGTAAAGCGTAACTGTCCTCCGACAGTTCTTGTTAGATTATTAGATTGATTTATAGCGGACTTTCAAAAAAGGGTCCGAGCGATTTTAACATAATTATCGTCATCAAGTGCTGGCGATTATTTTAGACTGAATTGTGTCCGAACGTTCGTTTAATGCACATGTGTATAGTGAGTAAAACTTCCTCTATATCATATATGTGTCCTTTTCCAAATCAATAGAGCTACCTTCTGCACGTGATAGTAACTCAACCTAAATAACATATACGCCATCATAAAGTATTTTACAATTCATTGTCTAATTTATAAACTAGTCATGTTCCTGCTTTCGCAAAAATGGTACAAGTTACTATATATAGGCACCCAAGACTGGTATGGTAATTGTAAGTTAAATGTGCCTGTAATCTATTCTTAATTGTACACGCTTGCAAGACATGGAACAGTGATTTCGCGTTTTCCTATGTGATTTTGACAAAGTTTTTAAAAAAAAGAAAAAAAAAGAGAATAACGGTTTTGCAGGCCTTTTATTTTTCATTTTTGAGGTTTCAAATCTTTTTCAATGAATATTCAAACCCGTTTTGTAAAATCACAGTCGGATAGTATTATAATTATGTTCATTTCAGCATAGTAAACGCCCAATAACGTATTGTTTTGAACTTGCATTGGGTCCAAGGTTGTATTTCCTCTTCATTTCGTTTTGTTGGGTGTTAGTTTAATTTTACACCGATTAGAGGCACATTATGAAACGAATTTTTGCCCCTGCCGAACCTGAGGTTCGAACCAGAGACCCCTGGATGCAGTGTTTGTCAGTGTGTTCGAGAACGATAAATAACTCTCATCCAAGACTCATTTATTATTAGCATTTATTATTTCTAACTTGGAATGTTAACTTAAAACTATTGCATGATTTGGATTTCAAACAGTCATATGATATCCCATAGTTAGATTGTCTGTCGCAAGTGCTCAGAAATTTAAAACATTTTGAATACAACTGAAGAACGCTTTATGTTGCAATGTCCTCTACATGATCCTAAAAGATCACTATTAATTAATTTCTAATATTTCTTAAAATGTTTAACCACGGATTTATATTACATTGTAATATAAATCCGTGGTTTAACTAATAAAAACTGGAAAAGTCTGAACGGTTTATAAATATCGTATGCTGTTTAGCGAGAATTACATGTATTTATGCAAACCTTTAATTACTTTACCATTTATTTGCACATTTATTTGTAACGGATCAACAAGAAAGATCATTATGTCAGGTAAAGGATCATATGCAAGGCCGTGCAGTACCGTACACGACCGTGCAGTACCGGTTTTACGGAGTAAAGGATTGGGTTTTCATGTATGGGAGATTAAACAACAAAAGGCATCATTATGTTTCATTTTCTATTAGAGCTATTATATTTTTCATGAAATCATACAGTTACATAATATACTTATACAGTAATAAAAAATATACAGAAATTATCATACATTACAAAGTTACATATTGCCATTAAAATAATATACGTTAAATGTATTTTATTTCATACTATTATAACATGCCTCGTGATTTTTGTCACTCGACTGTACAAAAAGAAAGAAAAGAAACTGGTGTTAAACTGCTAGTGTTTAACCCTATGACACTAGGACAGCTGTTGTTTTTTATACACGCTCTCCCTCTGATAACAGGAATCAACAAAGACTTTTAAGGCAACAATGACAACACTAGGTAAATCAAGATGTTCATAATATTCCCTTGTTTACAAGGATGCTTTGAATTTATGTATTAAATTTGATTTTTTTTTCAATTAAGAAATATTGCAGTATTATAAATTTGTTCTAAAAACGTTTGACAAGTTAAATGGCAGCGTACAAACATTTGGTTCTCTTTATAAGATTGCAACTGTATATATACTTGGCCGTATTTTTATATTGTCAAAATTCTTTGACAAAAGCACTGAAAACATGATAAAGAAATTGCAGATTTGGTTTAACTGTGTCTGCTCATGAGAAACGCTGTATAAGTCCAACATCTCGTATGTCCACTGGCACTGGCTTAAGTCGCATTCAATCTTCAACACTTACTTGTATAAGTAAAAGTAACTACACTTTGTACAGAACTGTATATTATACAATTAAGTTTATTACACATTAAGGTTTACTAATGAAAAACAAAAATCACAGAAAATTCACAACCATGTAATGTATATCATAGTCTAAAAGAAGATTATTTATTTAATAGAACACACATAATTATAAGAAAATGTAATTTACATAGTTATCATGTAAAATGTCCAAAATAATTAATATTGGAGCTGAATGAATAAATCTTGATTACTTAACTTTGAAGTTGGAGGACATACAACTTGAGGTAATAAATCGTTAAATAGAGGCAATCCGCATATACAATGTAGTTATAAATTCCAGATAGAAGATTCTCATGTGAGAAAATTGGAAGGATACTGTTAAATAATTTCTGTACTTAAGATTCTAAAGTAAAGAAATAAGTAAATGGACGAAGACCTAAATTTACATCACGGTTGACATATTTCATGTCATAAATTGAAACTACTGAGGTAGAAGTATGACAGGATATACACACTGGAAAATCATTCAAATAGGACACAATGGAAAATTACAAAAAAGACACCAAGAACACTTTATAATTGAGAAGACTGAGGAAAAGGAAGGATACAGTTGAAGATGAAGGATAGAGTAAACAATTAAGAAGAGAGTGAAAGATGAAGAATACGATGAAAGATGAAGGATACAGTTGAAGATAAAGAAAACATTGAAAGATAAAGAAAACATTGGAAGCTAAAGAAAACATTGGAAGATGAAGAAAACATTGGAAGATGAAGAAAACATTGAAAGATGAAGAAAACAATCGAAGATGAAGAAAACATTGGAAGATGAAGAAAACATTGGAAGATGAAGAAAACATTGAAAGATAACGAAAACATTGAAAGATAAAGAAAACATTGGAAGATGATGAAAACATTGGTCAAGATGAAGAAACATTGAAAGATGAAGAAAACATTGGAAGATGAAGAAAACATTGAAAGATAAAAAAAACATTGGAAGATGAAGAAAACATTGGAAGATGAAGAAAACATTGGAAGATGAAGAAAACATTGAAAGATAAAGAAAACATTGGAAGATGAAGAAAACATTGGTCAAGATGAAGAAAACATTGAAAGATGAAGAAAACATTGGAAGATGAAGAAAACATTGAAAGATGAAGAAAACATTGAAAGATGAAGAAAATGAAGAAAACATTGGAAGATGAAGAAAACATTGGAAGATGAAGAAAACATTGAAAGATAAAGAAAACATTGAAAGATAAAGGAAACATTGGAAGATGAAGAAAAAATTAGTCAAGATGAAGAAAACATTGGTCAAGATGAAGAAACATTGAAAGATGAAGAAAACATTGGAAGATGAAGAAAACATTGAAAGATGAAGAAAGCATTGGAAGATGAAGAAAACATTGGAAGATGAAGAAAACATTGAAAGATGAAGAAAACATTGAAAGATAAAGAAAACATTGGAAGATGAAGAAAACATTGGTCAAGATGAAGAAAACATTGAAAGATGAAGAAAACATTGGAATATGAAGAAAACATTGAAAGATGAAGAAAACATTGGAAGATGAAGAAAATGAAGAAAACATTGGAAGATGAAGAAAACATTGGAAGATGAAGAAAACATTGAAAGATGAAGAAAACATTGGAAGATGAAGAAAATGAAGAAAACATTGGAAGATGAAGAAAACATTGAAAGATGAAGGAAACATTGGAAGATGAAGAAAACATTGAAAGAT